AAATGAGTCAATACTGCAAAAAAATATATATATATATGTATATCTCTGTTCGTATGGAAAAGTAGCTTATGTCGAAAGGCTGGCTTTAGTATAATGCGGCATTCCCTTTATTCTTTAAACGCCAAGGAATTTTTGGATGAGACTTAATAAAAATATTTACTTGCTAGTAACGGAACTATTCCTTGCACGTTTATTTGCCAAAAGTTGTTCAACGGCTCAGCGCCAGTGAGTCATTCGCAATCGTATGCTGCGAATGCCGATTTATACTAAAGCCAGCCTTTCGACATAGGCTATTTTTCCATACGAACACAGATATGGAACACGTAAGGATCCTTTTTTGTTATCTTATATTTAGATCATAAATCAAACTATCAAAAGAGATAATTTCAAAACCTGCAAATGCTTGCACAATTTTTAATTCCTCTCAACACAAGAAAGTTACCTTGTTTGGTGCTATAACCGTTATTCGTTTCTGTAGTAACTATAACCAAAAAATAATTAGGGGATTCACAAGACATCATAAACTTCGTAGAGTGTTAAATTCGTAAAAGTTTTCAACTTAAAATAACGACCAAAATCTCTTTAGGACTTTGCAACTAAACGAAAATTTTTTCAAACTGATGGAAAATATTTAACTACTTCTTTCGGCTTACCTAAAACTCTTTTATCCATTAATTCACATTGGCAAATTTTACGACTTTGAGACTTTACGGCGTCTTGTAAATGCCCTAAATATTACTATCACCAAATCATATTTTGAGAGAAACATATTTACTTGAAGTAACTAAACTATTTTCCCAGTGTATCAACTAAGAAATGTACGAGAAGTTCTGGAACTGAAAGCGATGCGCTAACAACCTTAAATGATATTAGTCACATTTTACCTGACATTTTGTATCGTAATGGGCGAGCTAGTAATGCTGTGTAGTAGCAAAAATCACTTGCCAAATAGTAGGCGTTACACAAGTGCAACATAACGGTTCACTCGTCGGTCGACATGATAACACCACCGTCGAGTGCACATCACATAATAAATGTGGTAGGTGTCGCGCCTAGGACAATATTGATGTCTTTAGATGCTGCCACGACGTTGATGACAAAGAGATGGCGCAAGTTGATGATGACAAGGCGATGGTGGTTAAGAAAATGGCTTTCACTTGGAAGGAAATGAAGGAAGGACAATTGATGTTGGCAATATGTGGCTACAGTATGCGCCACGAAATTTCTCGCACATTGAGTTTGTACCTGCTTGTGAGCTTTATGCTCGTCATCTCGATATCGAATCAGGATTGTATGTAGAAACCAAACAGTTGCCAATAAATACATAAAAGTTCGCTAACCACACAACAAATTATGGAATTGTATTATCTCGGTTGAGGACACATGTTGGCGCGACGCGACGCTCCTAGAACGAAAGTATTCAAACAATTTATAGCTCAACACAATGACTAAGTTGTCGCAGAACGAACTGCATTGTGTAACAGCACGAATTTGGCCTCTATATTGCCGGATTATAAGATTACGAAAAGGTGTTTGGTGTAGTTTCCTGCAATTGTGAGGGTAAAATGATAAATAAATGTTATACAGTTATGAGCCCAAATAGTTTGCGAAAGAAGAAACCATAACACTTTATATGGCAGCTAGATATACAGAAAACTGAAGGTGTACTTATTACAATTAGGAAAAAAAATGTAAGATTTTGAAAATCAATGGTTACGTATTTGAGACCATCCCAGCGGTAAGGTACTTAGGTCTGATGAAAGATGCTAGGCTAGACATTTTAACGGTTAAAGTAGCTCATAGTACTTTAGCCCGCTTAATGGCAAACAGAGGAAGTTCTAATCAGAACCGAAAGCAACAGGAGACTACGACCGAACGCGTAAAAAACTTCGCCCAATGGCAACAACAATGGAACGCGTCTTCCTTGGGTTTCTGGAATTACAAACTCATTTCGTGTATTGAAGACTGGCTTAACAGGTCACATGTCGAAGTAGATATTTATATGACTTTAATTCTGGCTAATCGAAGCGCTGAAAATATGATCTCATACATAGAAGAAGCTATAATCAGCAAAAATAATAAAGCAATTGCATTCAATTTTGTGTCACTCTTCTTGTCTACTCCACAGGGAATCTGCGCGAAGAACAATCGGCACAACTTTTCTGAACCACTTATCACAAATGTGGATGAGGGAATATGGAAATGGCGTTACGGAAAATGTGTAAACGCTATAACAATCAAATACATATTGTATTTTAGAAGCGTGAAGACCTAACCCGATGTAGTTTGTCTTATAAAGTATAAACTCCTCGAAGGGCATTGCCGAACTTAATCCATATTTTATTGCTTTATGAAATCGCGCAACTGTTCAAATGAATCTAGTATTCCCTTTTCGCCATAAATAAGTCACACAGTATTTTGTTATTGTTATATTGATTACTTAATTTTTAGAGTCAGCAGAAATACGTTTCCCATCCTTTACAGTAAAATACATAATTATACTTATTAAATTAAAGTGTTAGCCACTCCCTTTCTGGCCAGTCTATAAGTACGCTGGGGGTTAATAATTCTTACTTAAACCCAAGTAAGTTTTGTTTGCACATATATATGTACATATGCAGTGGCGGATTTATCGTACAGGCAACATAGGCTGAAGCCTAGGGCGGCAGAATTAAGGGGCGGCAAAATTTAAGACAGCTAAATTAAAAGAAAAAAATGTATTTGGATTCAGCTGCACTTGAAATTGTGTTTGTGTCTGTAAAATATTATTAATGATTCATCTCATTCAATACAATTCAAAATTAGAATTACGCTGCGAATTTTTCCTTAGTATAGCAGTCGTTGAAATTTCCATTTAACTTTCATTCACGCGGCTTAGAAACCTGACGGCGCGCCTGCGCGTGACGCAAAGAAACAGCCGACACGCTGCCCCGAGAACGAGAATCATCTAAAAGGTTACTACACTTGACAACACTGCCGATNCAAAGAAACAGCCGACACGCTGCCCCGAGAACGAGAATCATCTAAAAGGTTACCACACTTGACAACACTGCCGAAAAACGAGCGTGCATTTTCGAGAAAATTCTTGATTCCAAGCCCACCAGTTTTTCATAAGTGTATCATAACGTGAATAATCTGAAGGTCAGCTTCCGTCGTATGTCAAATTAGGCAGTGTATCTGTGTATGGTCTTCTGTTTGTCTTGCGCGAGGTCAAAAAATCTTTATATATATATATATTTTTTTTTTTCGTGAACAAAGGGCGGCAAGTTATGAATTGCCTAGGGGCGGCAAATATTTAAATCCGCCACTGTACATATGTATGTATGTATATTTATGAATACACTGTGGAAAAATTTTTCTTTCACTTTAATACTAACATAGAGTTTTTCTTCTCCCTAAATTATTTTCCCTCACACAGGTGTCGAGATACTACATAACGAAACGTTACAGGAGGCGTAGGTAATTGATGGGCAAGTGAACGTAGTTGCGTATTTTAGCCAGTTGAAAACAACGAGGAGTCACTGTGTAGCATCAAGCATTTCCAAAAGTACCTCTATGGACAACAATTCCGCATAGTTCCGAGTATATATCTGATTGTTTGGATATAATTTGGAAAGTAATGATTCCCAATATGCCCGGACTTTCTCAAAGGGTTGCACAATGGTCCGAGTGGAAGGCACAGTGGTTCTATTACATTGATTTTCGGAAAACAAGAATTCTTATTCAGATGAGACAGCATAGTTCGGGTACACCATTCGAGTGGACGTAGCTGGTCCATTTTCTAATAGCAGACTGACTTAGCAGTTATGGAAATCCTGAGAAAGTAATTTTTCGCTATTACCTATGTACATACGTTTGTCTACTGTCTCGAAGTTTGGAATAAGTGGCGATGCAAGAAGTTATAACAAAGAAACTTCCAATATCCTAAAAGAAGAGATGAGAAAAATGCACGACCAATGTAATTTTATTATGAGGGCTGAGATGAAGGAGAGGTACGGTAAAGCGATGAACTGCCCTGGTTACAAAGAAGAAGAGTAGGTGCTGCATTACAGTCCAATAAGAGAGTAAGCGTTCTCCACAAACATGCAGTGTAATTACGAAGGCCTCATAGGGTTGAAGAACGTGGTGGCCAAACGCGAAGGGAGTTAAGAAAATCATTGATTAAACCACAAAACCCCCAACTTTTCGAAGTGAAATGCTTTTATTATTCGCACTACAAAAACATTGAAAATTTACGATAATTTTTTTGGCAAAAATTAAGATTTTTTTGACAAATTTTATTGAATTTAAGGCCGCTCAACAAAAAAAAAACATTCAAAAATTAACGATAAGTCTTTGCTTCCTCAAAGTTGCACTTAATCATACCAAAATCGAATGAGTTACAAAACTGCATACTCAATATCTCCCTTATAAATCTTATTAAACGCTCGAAATGTTTACGAAACTTTGTTGATTTTTTTAATATTGCACAAAGTTTGAAACTTGGAAGCAGCTTTTATTAAATAATGAATTAAGTGTTTCAAAAAAAAAAATTTTAATTAAATATGTAAAAATTAATAGGGAGTAAAAACTTGTCAATATATGGGTGTCGCAGATCCAAATTTAAAATATTTTTACCGTATAAGGCCTGAATAAAAAGTTACAGGACTATTATTTAATAAAAAAAAAAATTGTATTTCGATTAAGTAGCTTTTTTTATGGAATTTTCATAGTTTTTTGTTAGTGTATTTAACACTTGAGTGCAAAGCTTTCGTGCGTTAACACAAATTGATTTAATAACTATACTCGCAGTAATATTATCTGGTGCATTAAGTGCTTGAGTAAGCCACACTGTTATTATTGTAATTTGTGACGCTTCACCATTTCCCGCTCACCCTCTAATAACTATTACGTAGTTTCCAAATTAATGCCTAATCGGCCTATAAGTACTTCAGTCAAGCCCCAATAGCTGACATTCGTAGTGTAGCAGCTGTTAAAAGAAAGAAAATAAAAAATAAAAAATGTTGCCAAAGTTCTTGCTGCAATCCTATCCAACGGAGAAGAACTTATTTTTGGTACCCAAATTCGCTTTGGGCGTCATTGGCTTCTATCCGCAGCTTGGCAAATCTACACTGATGAACGCTTGGGCCTTATTCAACTTGGTCATACTCATCTATGGCTCCTACGCTGAGTTCGCCTTTGGCTTAAATTTTCTCTCCACCGATGCAATGCGCGCCTTGGATGCACTCTGTCCAGTCGCTTCGAGTATCATGTCCGTCTTCAAAGTCTGTTTCATCTGGTGGCATCGTGCAGAGATCGAACGCCTTGTCCATCGTGTAGCGGAGTTGACTGCCGAGCAAAATAGTCCACGGAAATTGGCTTGTAAACGCAGGTACTTTGCGATTGGAACGCGACTCTCTTCGTCGGTGTTACTCTTCGGTTTCCTTACGAGCACCTTGTACACCATACGCGCTGGCATAGTGAATTACTCGGCCCACGTGCGTGGAGATGAAATACCATTTGAGACGCCTTTCAAAATGATGTGCGTGTAGGAGTTCAGCTGGTGGTACAAAGTAGAATTGATTTATATACTTCCCTTCTTTTTCAGTTTTCCACAACCCCTCGTTTCGATGCCAATTTTTCCGTTAACTTTCACGCTGTCGCATTGGCATGGCTACATAACGGTTGCAGGTTTTGCTGGCGCTGATGGTTTGTTTCTCTGCTTTTGCATGTATTT